GGGGAATGGGGATGAAGAGAGGTAATGGGGGGTGGGAGGACAATTGGGGTGGGAGGAGATGAAGAGGTTATAGAGGGGAAGTGGAGGGAAAGGGGATGTGGAACGGGGATGAGGTTAGAGATAGGTATGGGAATGGGCATGGGAATGGTAATGGGAATAGGGGTGGGAGTGTTGATAACTAAAGAGGGCCATGGATAGAGGTACAGACGCCGGGGACTGTCTGGTATTTGCACTGTTATTCCCACCTCAAAGAGTTCATGTCGGATAAAGGGCTGGAAGGCGACGACGAAAAGGGTTGATTGGATTTGTCTATGGTAGTGCAAGAGGGAAAACGGAAGCCAGGCAGCCTAGTTCCTAGGTAGATATACCCGGATGGGTGTGCTAGTAAATGGGCAAGGCCAGTGAAGGCGGCCCAAGGCACAGACTACCAACAGTCCAAATGAAGCGCTGGATTTTCCTTTGTTATGCGCATCTTGTTCTCTGTGAACCTTTGACGCAGTGCGCGGTACGTCCATCCATCTCACATCTTACTTGACGCCCTTCTGTTGGTTATCCTTTACCCAGACGCCGGCCATTGTCGAGCATCACAGCCTTCGCACCTTCGCACATCTGGAGATTGGGGATTCAAGTGACATGTGATTAGAACTTGCTCTCGAATCATTCTCATTCTCATGCACAATGCCCAAGATCACATGTAAACACCACATAGCATCCATGAGAAAACAAAAGGGAGCACGAACGAACACAGTCGTAATGGAAATCTCTTCTCATTCTCTAATTGAGTTCTCTGCATCATCTAATCTAGCTATACCCCTAACTCTATCTCATGTCCATCTGCCTGCTTGTGATAACCAATGAACCTTTCTTGTCCATGGCAGAGTTATCCTTCCTTTCTACTTCTAGATGGATTCAATGAAACCAAACAAACCTATTGCTTAGGTATTACTCCGAGGTATGTCTACCTACCTAGAGGTAGCTTCGCTTCATTCTGTCTAAACATTATCAGTTCAAAAACAAATACGCTTATCTACACTTTCTGGCTGGCTTGTTTGTCCAGCCTGTCCAGCTTGCCCAGCTCAAAGCCGGGTCTTGTACACGCTAGCTGATCGTCTCGGATCTCCTTATCTTTATCGGTCCAAAGATAGACTCATGGGTACCACCTGTGGTTATCCACCAATCACTGAATTTGATATCCTCGAGTTTTGTTGCTCCAGCATCCGAAGACGCAAGCTTTGAAGGTACGGGCCTCTTGGTGTCGGTCTCCTTGGTGTCAGCCGCATTGGACTTGGGATCCCTCTTCTTCTTCTCAAAGTCAGACTCATTGGCGGCATCAATGTGGTAATCCCACCAGTCACTGATTCTGATCTCCTCGAGTTTTGTTGCTCCAGGATCTGGAGATGCAGGGTTCGAAGGTGCGGGCTTCTCGGTTTCAGTGTCCATGTCCTTGACTCCGTGTTCCTTGACTTCGCGTTCCTTGGCTTCGCGTTCCTTGGACTTTGGATTCCTCTTCTTTTGCTTCTTGAAGTCAGACTCCGTGGCACCAGCAATGTAGGCCCATGGCCCATTGACTTTCCGATTTTTCTCTCCCTTTGACAGGTTCGACAGGACTTCTCGCTCATACCATGACACGGTGGTTGAGACTTCTTCTTCTGAAGGACAATACTCTGGTACACTCTGCGAAGAATCCTCCGGAACGTTCTGTGGAAGGTCCGCTGGCCGATGCGTCGGCACATCCGTTGAGGTATACTCTGGCTCAAACCACCGCGGGTCATCTGGCATGTCCTCCGACTCACATAATGGTGCGTCCGCTAGCACGTAGTACGCTGGCGCATATTCTGGGACATGCGTTGGGACGTGGCCTGGAATGTACCTGGGCTTGTTGGGGTCTCTTGACACGCCATCTGGCTCCTCATTTGACGTCTCTGTCTCCTTGAGTCCCTCAGGCTCGGACATGTGTATTGCTAACTCCGTCTCTGGCTGCGTCGGTGTTTGTGCCTGCATCTCTGGCTGCGTCGATGTCTGCTGTCGGAGTGTAGACTCTGAAGATATGTCTTCCAGCACTTGTAAAGGCCGCGACGCATCATCCAAAGCCATTTGCACTTGGTGGTACTGTGACTCAAAGGTCCAAGTATCCCTGGACGACAAAATGCCATCCTTCATCTTCCGTCTCCCCAAGTCGTCGTCCTACTGACACTCGGGCTTGTTCTCAACCTGCTTTCCGTTTCCCTTTCCCTTCGCCTTCTTCTCATTCGGACCATGCCAACCGTTCAGACGCCCAGAGGCAGGAGCAGAGACACTAGTACCCCCCTTTCCGAAAGACGTCGGATATCCCTCTCTTTTCCCGTTGTCATCATCATCACATACCCCCGTTTCGGAACGTGTACAATCACCAGCCGTAGTGAACCGTTGCCAGGGTGCTTGTTCGGCGTTTGAGTTTGGTGCTTGTGCTGGTATGGGGACTCGGTATTGTATGAGGCCGTTACTAATACCGTTTCTGTGAGGTATAGAAGTACTTCCACTTGCACTTTCACTTGCACTTTCACTTGCACTTCCATTTCCATTTCGACTCCCAATTGCACTTCCACTCGCACTTACCACCGGATACATACCGGGTACGTTCATGGTATCTGGAAGCGAAGCTTTCGCCATGTGCGTCAAATGTTGACTTGGTAGAACTTCCCTAGAATACATATTTCGGTCCTCATATCGAGGCATACTTGCCATTCCGGATAGCTCGGGGTTCGTTGGATGTGGTGGTGGTGGTGGTGGTGGTGGTGGTGGTGGCAACTGATGCACGTTTGGAAAGTGAAAGTGCTCTGCCGTCTCTTGATAGCACCTTTGCGCATTACATTGCTCGTGCCCTGGGTATGGGAAGTGAGCTGGCTGATATGTTTGTTGCTGGAAGGGATACATTTGTTGCGAAGAAAGCGCCGGCGGAATCGGTGGTACCTGAGACATTGTTGTTGTTGGTACCTGAGAATAGTAGGGGTTGTGAATGAACGGTTGCATCTGGGGCATTGGTTGCAACTGAACCTGGGACATGGGTGGAACCTTGGATACAGTTAGTACCTGGGAGTTTGGTAGCAATTGGAATATGGTTCATACCTGGTATGTTATGGGCGCCTGGGAGTAAAGGGATGATGGCGGTATCCGGGGTACTGGCGGCACCTGAGTCATTATTGGCATCTGAGATGCCGGATGCAAAGGATGCATCACAGGCACTTGGCCCTGGGATATCGATGGTGCCTGAGACATTGGTTGGACTTGAGCCATCGTGCGTAGCATATCAAGCGTGTCCATTCTATGCTTTTGATAGCGGTGATATAACGCTGATGCTTCCGGCCCATTCAAGGAAGGTTGCTGAGAAGGCGGCGGGTTTGAAGCTGAGGTTGAAAGTCCTTTCGGGTGGAAATGCGGTTGTTGGCGTTGTGGCTGTCCTTGCGGTCGTTGTTTGAACCCTTTTGTGCTCACATGTGGATAATTTGGCCTCTGACACTGATTGATCGGTTCTGGCACCTGGACAATCTGCGTTTCGGACCGGAGCAAAGGTGGTTGCGGTCGTGATGCAGACTTTCTCTCGACCTTCTTGTCCTCACCGACCGGCTTCGGGCTTCCAGTCCACCGTCCTTTACCTTTTTCCTTGGAGTTTCTTGCTTTTGAACTGGCGATACCTCCAACCTGAGTGTCTTGACTGGGAAAGCTGGATTTATTCTCTTTAGCTTCCTCTCCAGCCTTTACATCTTCATCGGATGCGTTCGGTATTTCTTCCTTTGGCGCCATCGGCAACCGCACATTAAACAGCCGCACCCTTGGCACCTCCATTGACAGCCATAGTGTTGGCAGAGGTATTGAAGCTTCTGAAGATGGAGGTAACTGTAGCTCGGGAGGTGATTGTGATCCGGGTCTCTCCCCACTCTTCATATTCTCCGAGTTGCCCAAACAAGAGCCAGCAATGTGTAGATCTGAAGGTGGTGGAGGAGAAACCTGTGCCGTTTGTGATGATTGTGGTAGTCCAGCCTTGCTCGTAGCCTCCTTCGAGCTAGAGGCAGAGGTAAGAGTACCCCTAGACTTCTCACTCTCATTCTCGCCGGCCTTCTTGTTCTCAGCCTGATTGCTCGAACAGCCTAGTTCTGGACCAGCAGCGCTTTCCTCTTTCTTCTTATCTTGCTTCATCTTTGATGATTCCCCCAATGTGGCGGACCATTCATCCTTGAGACTTTTCAACGACGCTTCGACCTTGTCGGCATGTGATGTCTCGTGCTGAGCCTGTGAATGGGTATGTTTCCCATTCTTCCTCTTCTTCCTCTTGTTCCTCTTCTTGTTCTTTACCAGGGTGCACTCCTCCTCGATACCCAAGACATCTTTATCCCCTGACCTTGTATCGGCACAGTCCCTAGAGTCCGTCAGGTCTCCAGCGCCATTCCCGCTTTGAGCAGTAGAACCGGCACTGCTGGGCCGGCTGTCCTCATCCGTAAGCCTCGTCCACTTTCCATCAGGCATTGGGATAGGCACAGCAGAAGTATCAGGTGATGCAGGAGTGACTGGTAGTTGGGAGGGCGGCTGCTGCCGTGTAGCAGGTTGAGAGAAATGTGGCAAAAGGGGAACAAAACCACCAGCTAGAGTGGCCCGGGGTGCCTCTAGCCCAGTTCCTGTCCTTAGAGCAGCTATATCGTCAACAACGGTTAAACGTTCAGAGGAATCCGGAGGTGCCTGTGGAGATGCCTCCTCCAGCAACTTCGAGAGCTCCGCAAACTTTTCCTGTGCTCGCCGCATGTGGAGAGCTTTCTTTTCGGGCGAGGACATCGATACCTCATCCAGCTCTGTCTTCTTTCGCTCGTTCCAGAACCTTGCCATACCCAATGAGCCAAACGTACCCAAGGCTTTTGCTGCTCTGGATTCCATTTGATGTGATGAACCCGCTTCCACAGCTACGGTTGAGCTGCCCGAGATCCGAGAAGGCGATTGGAAGTGCGCCTGTTCTCCCGATTGTTGTTCCTCGTGTCCTGCCACGGGTTCTGGTTCTGGTTTGGGAAGAGTGGAGGACTTTTTGGTTTTCTTGCGTCTTGACTTCCGTCTCTTCTTGGCAGACTGCTGCTGTTTTTGTGCTTCCCGGCTTGGAAAGGTGTGAATCTCAACTTGGCCCGGGCTATCAAGCCTGAGTAGGTAATCGGCGGTCAGGTCGACGGAGCCGCATATAGAAATGGCTGCGGACTGCCCCGGCATCTCGGGCCAGAGGGTGGACGGAGAGGGACTCCATGTAAAATGTGGCCTCTGAGCATCCTCGGTTGGGGGTTTTCCCTCTCCCCAGAATTTGGTGATCATCAAGCCTAAAAGCCTCGGGGGCACGCCGATTGTCTCCAGGTTTAGGACATTGGACTGCAGCACGCTGGGAATAAGCAGGAGGAAGTTGAGCCATGTCGGATCAAAGTAGGGGTACCCTTCTGCGAGTAACTGTCAGTTCGAATGGCCACAGAGAACAGGGTGGAGGTTGTCAAAAGACTTACGCGGCATGCTCTCCCGCGATCCCCAATACTTTCTGACCATGATGGTCAAACGGTTGACAGGGGATTGCCGACCGCATGTAAGCAACTTCAACACGTCAGTTAATGCACATTTGTAGTGCTTAACGGATTCTAGGGCATCTTTTCCAGGCGCCAGTGCGGTTTTCAGTTGTTGCTCGTTGAACACGCCAGAGTGTGTAGCAGCTTCGATTTTTTCTCTTGTTCTGGGCTTGCCACCATAGAACCTGGTACAGTCAAATTCCATGGTGATGTACTTTAAATATCGGCCAAACTTGGCAAGCCATGGAATGTTTGTGGTAGGCCCAAAGGGAGAAATGACAAGATGGTATCGACGATTGAGGAGAAAGGCAGCTACGAGGTCGGCCCTAAAGCGACGATTGGCTTGGAGGTAAGGACTAAGAGCATGCAATGCTTGGTTATGGGTCTCGAAGAACTCGCTTTCCCAGGTTTCCTGTTCGGAGCCCTGAACGAGCATTGTGTCCTTGTTGACGGGATATAGGCCAGTGTAGACAGACCACCTGCTGAGGCGAATTGGCTTATCAGTGGAGTGTTGTTGGACGATGTAGCGGCAGATCTTAAGGGAAACATTGGAGGGCAGACTAAAGTAGCCCCAGTGGCCGGCTTTTCGTAAAGACTCGGAGGGATCCTGATGGCAAGCAGAACTAGTCCTTAGAGGTAGAGGTAGTTGAGTCGTGGTGCGGGTGTCTTTGGGCAAGGCCGCAACAATGTCACCATCTCCCTTCTTGGAGCCGCGGGGGAGGCGGGACCAACAGATATTCAGAGTCCGATCATAAGGGGGCGGGACGGCGGAATCGAACTTGATGTTGTGAGTGTATTCATAGTCGAGATCATCGAAGGAGTTCAAGTTGTCCATGGCGAAAGTATGCTTGCTTCTCGGATACGGATACTGGGGTAAATGATGGTGTCTTGTCAAGCGAGTGTTGGGTTGGGGTTGAAGTGGTGGGAGCAAGGGGAAGAGGACCTCTGGGTTCCCGTCCTTTTAACTCAAGTTGATGGCACTAATCAGGGCCATGCCCTCGGCCTTCTCCAGCTCCTTCCGGCTGAGTCAAGGATGCAGTTCAGGGCAGGAAGCACCAACTATCGCCAAGTGACATAACCAAGGTAGTTGTGCCGAGTCGTTACCGGTAAGGAGAGGTAAGTGAAGTTCTGGTCCCAGACTGGCACCGGGACTCCTTCATGTTTCCCCCACACTGCGCAGATGCTGATGAGGGTGCCATTTCGAACAAACTTCATGGCTACTGCTCTCAACTCTTGTTTCTGGAGGGAATTACCTGGCGTTTCCAAGTCTGCGATTCCTTTCTCCGTGAATAAGAAGCAGGTACGGCAGTCTCTGGACATCCGCTTGGTCCAGACAGTCATCGTCCTGGGGCGGCAGGGCGGCAGGTGTACAAAGCAAACAACAACAGAGCACGTTTTGAGATGAAAATGGTTACACAAAGTAATGAGAGTCAACTGGAAGCAGTGAGGGCATGTATTGACTGATGTCGATGGTGACGGTGATGATGTTGATGATGGTGTTGAGACAAGATTTCATCTGATTTGTCCGATTAAATCCAAACAGGGAATATGCAGTGTAAGTGATAAGATAGAGATTACATAAGCCGATAAACATTTTCTCTTATCGGGGTGTTCATCCCGTCTTCCACTTTATCTTATCGATAAAGCTTCCCCGGTATCAAAATTCTGCGCTTTGGCCCCTCCACATCCTCCGCCAGGCCCCGTCAGAAGCATGTCATTGCCCCGCCTCTCCCAATACAGCAATACAGAGCAGCACGTGCGGGCGTCGTACCAAAGAAGTCAACTGTTAGCGCACATGTACCTGCTGAGTTCCTTCAGCGGGAGCTTGTAGCGAGAATGTCCACTATAACTACCTCTGTGGAAAGCTTGTCGCATCGCATAGCCAGGATTTGACGCGTCTGGGCGGTTCTCGTCGCTTCCCTTCAGTTGGACTGAGTGACGGAGGTACTTGGAGGCCATCTTCTGTACCCTGGCTTCCCTTGTCTCCATCAATCTTTTTCCCGGCCATCTTTCTCATCCACCATCACCAACATCACCACCAACATCACCATACATACAGTCACCACACCACAGCAATTTGAATACGAAAAACACCGCCCACCATGTCTGTCACTACCCAGGTTCCCAAGGACTTTGACGCTGAGAATGCGGACAACTTTGAGGATGTACGTCGCCTTCCTCCCCCCTCAGCCTCGCTCGTTATTTTTTGCGCCGAACATTGCGACACACAATGCGCCACCCTACACCCTGACAGCATGCTGACCACTAGCACCCAACCAGATTGAGAAGCAGTTCGCCGTCAAGGCCGTCCAGCAGATGGCGACGTACTGGGCCATTCTCGAAAAGGTGCCCGGCTCCAAGCTGCGCCTGACCAAGATGGACGACGACATCTTCGAGCACCTCAAGAGGGACTTCCCCGAGTTCGACCCCGCCGAGCCCATCAACGAGGACGAGATGAAGAGCAAGACGGGCAAGGAGAGGTGGCGCACCTTTATGATGGCCTACGACAAGAAGATTGACGACTACAACTTCGGCACCCTGCTGCGGGCCTCCCCCAAGACCGAGTACGGCGAGAAGGAGACCATTTTTGTGCCGCGCATGCAGTTTTATGCCGTCGAGATTGCGAGGTATGAACCACCGTCCGAGTCTTATAGGCAAAAAAAATACTGACAGGTCTCAGAAACCGCGCCGGCCTCAACGACTGGATCTACGAGGAGGCGGAAAAGGAGAGGCAAAAGGCCAAGGGCAACACCCAGGGCAGCAGCAGCAGCAGCGCATAGGATACCAACCATCGAGCGAATACAAAGTGAATTTCTCTGCAATCCAGTCGAGTTCTTGAAACATGTCCTCGTGGGTGTACATGTTATGCCTCTACATAGGTTTGGAAATCGAGAGAGAGAGAGAGAGAGAGGTAAGCATCTTTATCAAAGAATTAAAAGTGCCGCAGTCTTCCATCCCATCACCATTTTGATCCCAAAGTACTTATTGTTCCAGGGCCGGCCACCTAGATCGATTCCATCTCAGCCACAACTGCTTCCTATTGTTCTCGGCTACCCCTGAGCCCACCCAGCACTTTACTGTGTATGGCTCGACACAAACAATAGCAAGCACCGCCAAACAAAGACCCTCACAAAGCTACACCAGAGACGCTTCTCCCTTCGCATCCTATTACCACCGAAACCCGAATTACAAAAATGGCCCTCCTATTATACTATCACCAGTTGCCACCAGCCTTTTCGAATTGCTAATACCACTTCCTCCTCCAAAGGGCCGACCGTCTTTTTCCCCTTGGACCCTTTCCACCATGATCTGGTCAAATTGATTTGACAGTCAACAACTGCTGTCATTAACAGTCAAGATGAGCAGCTCAAAGCACGAAACGGAAAAGGGCGAGTCCATCGCTGTCCACATTGCGGCTCCCGCTCAACCAGCCCCCAAGCCCGTGAGATCGTCCTTCAAAAACCTCTTCGCCTTCACCCGCCCAGCCCATGTCTCACTCATGGTCACCGCTCTCTGCGGCTCAGCCGTCATTGCCGCCGGCCGTACCGCCTACGCTGTTCTTCTGGGCAAGATCTTTGAGGTCTGCACCTCTTACGGCGCAGGAATCATCGCCGCATCCGACTTGCTTCACCAGGTCTCTCACTGGTGTCTGTACATGTTCCTCCTTGGAATCGGTATGTGGGTGGTTTGCAGCTTTGACGTTGCACTTTGGGTCATGGCCGGCGAGTTGCGCGCAAAGACGACCAGAGAGACTCTATTCTCGACCCTGCTCAACAAAAGTGCGGCTTGGTTCGATCTTCGTGAGCATGGCATGTCCAGCTTGATGACTGCCATCCAGACGTGAGTCCTCCCTTTCCCCCCTCTTGGGAGAAACACTACTTAACACACCCCCGGCAGACAAGCCCGCGAACTCCAAATGGGCACCTCCCAAGTGTTCGGCTTTCTAGTCTGCGACCTCCTCGTCTTTTTCTCGTGCATCATCGTCGCCCTGTACTACTCCTACAAGCTGACACTGGTCATGCTCTCCACCGCTCTGCCGTCTGCCCTCATCCTCTGGCTCATCGCCCGCTTTCTCGACCCTGCCATCGCCGGCCAAAAGCGCGAACTGGCCGAGGCTGCTAAGCATGCAACGGCTGCCACGACCGCCATCGACCTCGTCAAGGCTTACAATGCGGCAGACCATGAGTCTTTCCATTTCATTTCGGCTGTGCGACGCTCGTCCAAATACTACACCCGTCAGGTGCTGTCCAACAATGGGCAGATGAGTTACATCAAGCTGTGGATGATGTCGCTCTTCGTTGTTGGTTTTTACTTTGCCGTCGTGCTCGTCAACCGGGAGGAACTGACCCCCGGAAACGCCTTGACGACCTTCTACTGCGCCCTCATCTCCTTCCAGTCCCTTCAAAACCTCGGCCCTCAATGGATTATCCTAGCCAAAGGGATGGCAGCAGGCCAATCTCTTCAAGATCTCGTCCGCCAAGCTGATCCCGGTCAGACCAAAACTTGTCAAGAGCCTGGCGGCCTTCGACCCCCTACCTGTCAAGGCGACGTCACTCTCTCCAACATATCCTTCGCCTACCCGTCCTCACCCTCCAATTTGGTCCTCCAGCCTTCATCGTTTCACTTTCCACCCGGCTCTCTGACCTTCATCGTCGGTCGTTCCGGCTCTGGCAAGTCCACGCTCGGCAATCTGCTCGTCCGTTTCTATGAACCTTTGACAGGCCAAATCACTGTCGATGGACAACCCATCACACGACTCGACCTAGGATGGGTCAGACAGAACATTACCCTGATCCAGCAATCCAGCGTTTTCTTCAACGATAGTCTATTCCAGAACGTCGCATTTGGAGGCTATCAGCCCGACCGCGTCACAGTGGAAGACGTCAAAGAAGCCTGCTCCATGGCCTTGCTACAAACCACCGTTGCCGGAATGCCTCAAGGTCTAGACACGCAAATCGGACCTGGCGGTTATTCGCTCTCTGGCGGACAGCGTCAGCGCCTGGCTTTGGCGAGAGCCAAGATCCGCGATCCGCCCGTGTTGATCCTCGATGAGATTACCTCTGGTTTGGACCCCGTGTCGAGGGGACTGATCATGGACGCTATCCGTATCTGGAGGAGGGGTAAAACAACAATCATCATCACGCACGAGGTGGGTTGTATAGGAGAGGGCGAGATGGTTTATGTTATGGAGGGCGGACGAGTCGTGCAACAAGGACATGGAAAGCAGTTGAGAGAGGAGAGAGAGGGGTTGTTTGCTGGGCTTGTTGCCTCGGCTGATCATGACGGTGGTGATCATGGAGAGGGTGCAGAGGACAGTGAGAAGGAGGAGAAGGAGGTAGAGAGCGAGTTGGAGGATATTCAAGAGCGTGAAGAAGAAGAGTCAGAGGAGGAGGTGATTGAAGAGGCTACCTACGTCCAGCTAGTTCGCGGCCTGAGTCTGCGTGGCCAGAGGGGAAGTATTGTCTTTCCCAGGTTAACGTTTGGTTATGACCCCTACTCTTCCGCGGACAACCAACAGTCACGACCACTTTCACGATTGTTGGGCGCGGGCAGAGTACCAGTCCACCACCCCCACCCCCACGCAAACCCCGATCGCACTCGTGATGTCTCTCCCTTCTCAAAGCAAGACGACCGCAGACACAGCACCTCTTCCATCGAACTCATCACCCAAACCGGCCTCTCAGTCAAGAAAACCCGCGTGTCTAATGCCCGGCGGGCCCAGCACCCTGATCCGAAGGTGATCGAAGCTCAACTAAACGGAAGCCTGGATTCTCTTGAGCTCTTCTTCCTCGACAAGCTCGCCAACAAGAAACAAAGAGCTGGATTCCACAAGAAGCGTAGGAATAGCATGGCGTCTGTCGTTTCGGCTGCTTCCCACTCTTCCAATGCCCAGCCAAGCAACAAGCAGCGGCACTCGGTCAACAACCGCCTCCCTTCTTTATCGGCAATCCTCCGCACCGTCTGGCCCACTCTCGACCTGCGCTCCAAGCTCGAACTCTTTCTGGGTGTCTGTCTGGGTCTGGTAGTAGCAGCCGCCAACCCGCTTTTTTCATACGTCTTTGCGCAACTGCTCTCCTCCTTCTGGTCGTCTCCTTCCGCCCGACTCGCCGCCGGTTCCAAATACGCAGGGATCCTCGCCGCCATTGCATGTGTCGACGCTCTCGCTACTTTTGGCAGCTATTACTTTTTAGAAAAGGTAGCAACAAAATGGGTCACCACCCTCCGCTCCGAAGCCATCACCCGCATTCTGGCGCAACCCAAATCGTGGTTTGACAAGAGCTCCCACAGCCCAGCCAAGATTGTAGCATGTTTGGATCGCAACGCCGAAGAAATGCGCAAGCTAGTCGGCATGTTCCTCCCCATTCTGATTATCGTCTGCACAATGATTACCGTCGCCAACGTCTGGGCCTTGACTATCCAATGGGACTTGACCCTCGTCACCCTCGCCGGTATCCCTGCCGCCGTCATCACCGGCCGTCTTAATGCTTTGTTCAGCGACAAATGGGAATCCCGCTGCGACCAAGCTGCCTTGCGGACTGGACAAGTCCTCACCGAGACCTTCGGCAACATCAAAGTCGTCCGCGCTCTGACGCTCGAGGGGTGGTTTACGCGGAAATACGAAGACAAGACAAGCGAAGCGTACCAGCTCGGTTTAAGGAGGGCCACCTACGTCGGTCTCTTTTTCGGTCTCAACCAATCCATCGCGTACTACCTGACCGCCATGATATTCTACTACGGCGCCAAGATCTTATCCCAGGATCGCGCCTCGGTGACTGATTTGCTGCGCGTCATCAACCTCATCTTATTCAGTTTGGGAACCTGCGTCAACATGCTAGCCAACGTCCCGCAGATCGCCGCAGCAAAGGCAACAGCAACACAAATGCTCTACTTTGCCAACCTCTCCCACTCATCAAGCCACGAATCCCAAGGCTCTCAGCGCATCTCCAACCCTTTGCCCATCCGTATGCAAAACCTGCGCTTTGCTTACCCCTCGGCGCCCGATACTCTCGTCCTCCGCAACCTCAACTTGACTATCAACCCCGGCACATGCACAGCAATCGTCGGTTCCAGCGGCTGCGGCAAATCAACCATTGCTTCTCTCTTACTTAACCTCTACCCGCCTTCTGTTTCTCCTTCTGCCCCCACCAATAATTCCTTAACCTTCAACTCCATCCCCTCCTCCCAAACACACACCCCCTCTCTCCGCTCTTGTGTGGCTTACATCCCACAACACCCCTTCCTTTTACCCACCACCCTCCGCGAGAATATTCTCTATGGTCTCCCTGACTCTTCTCCGTTGCGGCTTCCTTCCCACTTCCACTGTCTAGTTCACGCATGCCAATTAGCTTCCATCCACGACTTCATCATCTCCCTTCCCGCAGGGTACGACACCGTCGTCGGCGAGGGTAGCGGTCTACAATTAAGTGGTGGACAAGCGCAGCGTGTCAGTATCGCGCGCACACTAGTGAGGAGTCCGAAAGTGGTGGTGGCTGATGAACCGACTGCTAGTTTGGATGCTGAGGGTGCAGAGGCCGTGAGGGAGGTTTTTGCTCGACTTGTTCATGGTAATCGGACCGGACTTGACGGTAGTTCTAAGGAAGGGAAAGACGAAAGCAAAAAAGAAGAAGAAATGGCAATCGTGGTAGTAACCCACTCCAAAGAAATGATGCGGATTGCCGATCGCGTGGTGATGATCGAGGGAGGGATGGTGGTTGAGGAAGGCGGGTATGACGAGTTGAGGAGAACAAAAGGGGGGAGGTTCGCGGGATTGGTTAGTGGAGGGGCTTGGGATGGTGGTCATGGTGCTGCTTCTTTGTCTGCCCGTGATCAACAGGAACAGGGGGGAAATCGAAGTCATCATCGAAGGAACGTAACTCTCACAACACTCAGTTCTTCCGACTGCGGTGGATCCCAGAGTGTAGAGGTAGGGGAGTCTTCGAGCTCTGGGCAGTACCAGTACGGGCGTCACGGGGGGAGATATCAAAATGGGCAAGATGGAGTCAGTGACGTAAGTGATGAGGATTTGGACCTGGAAGATGAAGAGAAGGTTGGGCCTTGGACTGGTGATGGTACTGATGCTGGTGCTGGTGCGGGTGCCGGTGCGGGTGTAAGGGTCAATGAAGAGGCGTTGCAGAGACTAGAGGGGACGTCTCCGGATTCTACGTCTAGCACTTCGTTGTCTTCTGCGAATCAGTCACCGGAGAGAGGCAGGAGAACAGAGAGGGGTGGGGATGGAGGTAGAAGTACTTGGGGTTGGAGGTTTGACTAGGTGATCTTCTAAGTTCCTTTCTGGTGTTTAGAGGTATATATGCAGTGGTTGCAGGTTCCTTTGCTCCTTTGCTCCTTCTTCGCTTCTTGGTCTCATTTTTCGTGGTACATATCTTACACTAGGAAGCCAAATAGTTCAAGACCATAGTTTGCTTTTCCTATCACATCTCGTTCATACCTAGGTAGGTGAAGATAAGTTATCGATGAACATTTCTGACTTAACCCCAAGTAATCTTATAAACAATGTTTATTACCATGTAATCCAAAAACAAAAGAAGTACATAAGGGGCGAGCAGACGTATATACTTTGATAATCAGAGAGAAGCACAAGCCATCATCCATCGCCAGAAACGCAAAAAAAAAACAAAAAGAGAACTCAACGTCCATAACACTCGATCCACCCAGGGGTCGAACCTGGAACCTCCTGATTCGTAGTCAGACGCTCTGCCATTGAGCCAGCGGACCTTTTTTTCTTATTCTTTCCTTTCCTTATCCCTCCTCATTACCCCGTTCCTAGTCCTGTCCCAATGGTGGCGAGGATGTTGTTGTTGTGTTTCGAACAAAAAAAAAAAAACTTTCTTTCCGATTTTCGTTCCCGAACTTTTTTTTCTATCAGCAGGGGTGTTCAGCAGGGTTATAGTGGAACAAGTCCACTGAGTCCACTGATCTGCGCTACAAGAATTTTTACAATCTTTACATTGAAATTCCGCAGTGGAGACAAGTGCTAGAGGTCCAGGTACGAGCGCCGGGCGGGCCTTCCGGATATTGGAGGGCACCTCCACGGCCGGCGGGGTGGTAATGATATTTGGAACCCACTTCGGTGCCGGAGCCGGATGGGGTGCGGATGGGGTACTGATGGGATACTGATGGGATACGGAAGAGGTCCGGTGTACGCAGTACGATACGTGTGAATGGTCGTAATCATGAACATAATCAGTAATCGAATACCATTTGCGTTAGGAACGGCTGTTTCAAGACTTTGATGAGGTGTTCGTGACGTGGAAACATGTCGGCTAGAGTCCATTAGGAATGCTTTTATCCAGGATGGAACATGCATTGAGGTTAGGTACGTTAAAGGAAGAATTGCGTGAATGAGTTATCCAAAGAAGTAGGGTACTGACTGGGGTGATGTGTTTGGATTATTCTTACAACCATTTCACATATTCATCATCGTGAGTGATGGAATGCCTGAAAGCAAGTGGCCATTTACTTGACATTATTCTATTATGATTTTTGCGACTATATTTCATGATTAGGACCCATTAGCAGGGTCTAAATACCGGAAGAGCAAGCTGGCTTCCGGTGCCCTTCTCATCGTTCAGGACGTGCTGATTTCATATCACTCATGACCGCTTGTCGTCCAGTCCAGGAGCCATATCATTCCCTTTTCCAACGGTTCCCTTTTCCGACAGTCATTACCTTTCATCTCCCATTACCGCACGTAAAAAAGCTGGGGGTATATCCACCACTCAACACTCCTTTTCTCCTCTGGCAGCCACGTGCCATCATATCTCATGTGCATGCCATCCAATCCTTCATGACTTTTCCAATTGCTGTACACACCCTTGTTAGCCAACCATTCATAACAGCAACCTCACGGATAACAAAAAGGAAAAAAAAAAAAAAAACTCACCAAAGCAAACCGACTCCTCCCCCTAACCCAACTCCCACACCAAACCAACACCCACGGCACAGCCGTCAACCCCACCGCCACGCCTCCCAAGATGGCGCCCGCCCGTCCCTCTCCCAGATTCGTAAACAACGGCGCCGTCACCAGCGGAAACACACCTCCCAAAATATTCCTACAAAAACTCTGTGCCGCCAGCGCCGAGCTCGCATACCGATGATACGTATCAGCCAGGTAATTGAACACAGCCAAGTAAACAGACAAAATACCCATAGTGGCAATACCGATGCCGATGGTGGGCGCGATCCAGTGATAGTATGGACGGGCAGTGAAGCCAAAGATGAAGAGGCCGACGGGCAAAAAGGTGGCGGTCAGGCAGGTAAAGTAGAGGCGGGCTTCGGGGGAGTTAGTGGGGAAGTGGGTGCGGAGGAAGGGCCAGATGGGGTTCTCTTTTGTGGTGGTGGTAGAGTCGGAGGGGGTCTTTGGTTCGTCGGAGGAGTAGGGAAGGGCGTTGGGGCCTTCGGTGTCGGAGGCCGAGGTCTCCTCGGTGGAAGATGAGGTAACAGGAGCAGCTGCCCTCCACTTGGGATGATGCAACATCTTTTCTTGCCAGATACCCATAGCGGTAGCGAGGATGGCGCCGACGATCATGGCGACAAAGATACGGCCTCCTTGCTCAATGTTCCAACCGTACTGTCGGCGAAAGACAAGCGGGATGGAACCAAAGGTGAGGTAAAGCACGCCCCAGGCAAAGGCGGCCCAGAGGGAGAAGAAGAAGACGACGGGCTCGGTGAAGAGGAGGTGGAAAGGGCGGTAGACGGAGGTGCCGATCATGGTGGTGAGAGAACCGCGTTCTTCGTCTTCTTTGACTTTCCACCTGATACGCTGGAGCGTTTTCGTTCCAGGAGATGATGGCCCCTTTTCCTCATCATCCGCATCCGCATTTCCGTTGTCGCCTTCTTCTTCTTCTTCGTCAACCCAAACGCCATAAAACCCCTTTTCCTCCAACTGCTCATACCACCGATTCAACGCCTTGGCCTTCCTGCTCAACAAGACACTCCCTCTACTCTCCTTGAAAAACACCATCAGCGCCACCATCAACGCCCCGCCAAGAATAACCTGATGCCAAAAGATCCACTTCCACTTGGCCCCGTTCCCCTCCTCGATATTCCCATCTGCATCCGTCCCCCACCGCTCCGTCATGTACGCACTCACCAACGGCCCCAGTCCCGTGCCGCACAGCACCGCCCCACTAAACAGCGCCATGGGCGTGTTCCTTTCTGCCGTAGGCCAAATATCCGCAATCACACCGCCGACCATGGTCGAGAAAACCGACGCGCCCACGCCCAAGAAAAACCGAGCGATCAGCATCCCCTCCAAGGTTTCTACTACGCCGCAGACCACTTGGAAAATGACAAACATGATGCCGGCGGCGACGAAGACGGGTTGGCGACCGTTCATTTCGGAAAAGGGCGCGAGGAACATGGGTGCCAGAGCGAAGCCGAGACAGAAAGTGGAGATGCCTCCTAGGATGGCGGTAGAGCTGTGTGCGTGCGCGAGGTCTTGGAGGAGGAGTTTTTGAGGAGGGGAGTAGGCGCCGGCGGTGTAGGCGGTCAGGAAAGTGGCGATGCAGGAGAGGGTGAGCATGGTGATTTTGACGGAGGTCGACCAGAGGATGGGGTTGGTGAAGGGTTTGAGGTTGGGAGGTGGGGGGACGTCATTTTGGGGTGTGGTTGAACCGGAGGATTGGTGGGTGGTGTTGGCGGAGGGCGGGAGGATGGCAAAGGTTAGGTAGAGATGGGTGATTTCCGTGTTGGCGTCTAGTAATTGGGTGTTTGATGGTAAAGTACCCGAAGCTGGGACTGTGGCGGGGTGTGGTGCGAGCACGGGAGATCGGTTGTCTTCGGAGCGCCATGAGGGAGGTGCCGTGTCCGGGGCCGTGTGTCCGGGGGTTGGATCTGCCATGATGGATGCTGATGCTGATGCTGATGTTGATGTTGATGCTGTGTCGAGTCGAGAGTGTTTGGCAGGTCAACCTTTTTGTTTCTTTCCAGCCAAGTGAGACAGGATGTGCCGTCAAAAGAATCCTTTACCGACTCCAACAAGAAGAAGAAGAAGGAGAAGAAGAAGAAAAGAAAGGGGGACCGTCAACAAAAACACGTCAACCGTCGAAGCGTTCCATATGTAGGAGGTGAAGGATAATAAGTAAAGTGAAGACTTTTTTCAAAGGCGGTCAACCCAGACCAGGGCATAGGATCAAACGGTCCGAGAGATATGGAATCAGAATTGTAGAAGGAAAAAAAGATGGATCCAAGATGGTGATATCGCGGCTCCAAGAGGAGTCAGTCTTGTCCCCCTCCTTCTCCATCCCTCCGAATTCCGGCAATAAAAGCGGAAACAAAGGGAAAATCCTTTCCTCTCTCTCGTCTTCACTGAAGGAACCGACGCCTCTCTTGCAGGCATTCCCCGAGGCCAAGACTTTGATATGGCAAAGGACTTGGCTGCTTGGCGCCATGTAACTTGACGCTGCATGGTTGACTGGACACTATCATCACTAGTGGACACTAACAGATAAAATACACAGTATGGAGTGTAATATGTAAGGCTGGGACTGGGCTGTTTGGGCTTGGCTGTCCACATGGTTACCCGTCCGACCTGGTTTAGCTAGATCCACCGTCTGTTATTGTTGAGGGCCGAGGCCGAGATGCCGTTCGTTGACTCTACTTACTAATGTTTTTTTTTACTTACTAATGTTGACGTTTGGATAGAATCAGATGACGATACTACCTCGAAGAGAGATCCACAGGCTTCACTACGTCGACTGTGTCACGGATCGCCAGAGGAACGGTGAGGTTATTCCCGAAGCCACTTTGACTTGGCACACGTTTGGCTGCCATGATTGGGTTACCCGGCATGTCTTTGTCTGCCGTAGGTATGCAGTTCCCGTTGCCAGATGGGAATTGCTGACAGACATTTGATGGCCAATACCCGGGGCTAGTGTAGTGTTGTTTTGGCCTTGTGACACTGTTTTTGGAGGGTTGAATCTGGAATATGATTTATGGGAAAAGGCAATGGGGTCAAGGGAGATACTAAGATGGATCTTGATTCACAATGTTTTCCAGATGTGGTGAAAAAGGGAATATCCCGATAGGTGTAACGCAAGCGCCCTGACGTGGACACTCACTAACAGACCAACCCAATGTAACCGCACATTTTCTCCACCGATCAGTTAACCCCGATTATTCCCAGGTCCACTGTAAGCAATTCTCCTCAGCGGGCCGATCATGGCTCGAAACACCGGCAAACGTTTCCATGTCAGCGGAACATTCCGACCTTCGTGCCGACAAGGAACCCAACAACAACCTGCGTCACGACATCGACATGGCTTCGGACGCGCTCCACTACCATACACTACCGTATCCCGTTTCCGACTTGGCATATCATGTACATAGTATCACGAGGACTTGAAGCTGGTCTTGTGTGCGACTCGGCCTTGATAGGATGGTGCCCCGATACGCGACAGACAAGGCGACACATCGACGCCCGCCCTACACGAGCGAGCAAGCGAGCACAACATCAGACAACCCCCCCGAGACCCTTTCAATGCCGATCCAAACCGATATTTGTGTGTGTACATCCCGACGGGAGACACCCTACGACAAAGCCGGCACATCCCACGGCGCCCAACTCTTCAAATCCACCTTGGCCGAGCTCCTCTCCACCGCTCCCGGCGCCGTCCCCGACTTCAGCAAGAAATAATCAATATAGCTCGTCAGCTCGCTCTGCTGACTACTCGGGAACTGACAATGACCATGTCCCCCGACCAGCGAAAATCCCATGTAATTCGGCACCCCATACGCCTTATAGATCAGCCGGCCCGCCTGCATGCACGCCGTCGTCGACACGGGGCCCAACCAATCGATATCGTTTTCAAATGCAATCAAGCCCCTCGGCACCGTCAGCGCCGCCAGCATGTGGTGGTCCGCGGGGATATTCGTCGTCTGCCGCGTGTACGCGTTGAAAGCGGGCGAGAACCACACGTTTTCCGTGACGATCTGCGACGCTGTCTGGATATTCTTCCCTGCGGATTTCTCAGAGTCGCTGATGCGCCAGCAGGCTGCGCCGCCTGACCCGGATTCCTGCGGGATGGTGAGAGCGATGCGGTCGACGAGGGCACCTGCCACGAAAGCACCCTTGCCGTTGCGGCTGCAGCCTGTGACGCCGAGGCGTTTCGGGTCGATGCCTGAAGTGGATTGGACTTGTTCAAGTGCGTCGACGAGGCGGTCTACCCCCCATGCCCAGGCTGTCAGGGCGCCGGCCGAGTGCGAGCTGCCGAACAGCGTGTAGAACTTGCCCTTGCCGCGCGAGGAGGTGCCGGATTGTTGGGCAAAGTCGTCGTTGGGGAAGGTGATGGTGGCTACGGTGCTGGGAATCGGGATCGAGATGCCGCCGATGCCGATGATGGCTGGGAAGGGACCGCTGCCCGAGGAGGGCTTCTTGATGGAGGCTGTGAAGGATACGGTTTGGCTGCCTACGGTGATGCGCACCGTTAGGGTGTTGCCGGAGAGGGAGCCCTCGACCTTGTCGGGCTTGCCGGGGTAGGTGCCGAGTTCGTATTGTTGGAGAATCTTGGAGATCTCGGCCTTGCGGCAGTCAAAGTCGGCTTTGGTCGTGATCTTTTGTCCGCCTGCGGTGGTGAATGGGTCGGGAAGCTTGGAGACGGCTGCGGTCGGGTAGTTGCCGGCCACGGAACATTGGCGCTCAAGGATTTGAGAAGCCGGGGCGGCAACGGCAAAGGCCGCGCTGGCGAGCAAGAGGGCCGGGGTAAGGTGGACCATGGTGACTGCTTGATGAGGTGTGGAGGTGGGAGACGAGTGTTTCCGACCTCACTCCCGTCTTATTTAGGTTTTTTTTTTTTTTTTTTTTTTTTTTTTTTTTTTTTTTTTTTTTTTTTTTTTTTTTTCTTCTACGT